GGATTAATTGTTTTCGCTGCTTCTTCGTTATATTGATTCAATCCCCAACATTTTTCAACTCTTTTTTCATAAAAGAGGTTGAGAAAGACAATCATGGCCCCTGTTTGGGCTCCATTTTACCAAGAAAATGTATTTTCGAATTGTAAAAAATTGGAAAATGTGTGGTTAAAAAATAAGGAAAAATTTTGAATTTACGTATAAAATTATTTTATGAGAGAATGTGTGATTGAAAATGAGTATTGAAAAAAGAATTTTGAGAATAATGGGCTAAACATGGGGCCTAGTGAGTTTATTTGACTCGTTTGACAATTATTATTGTCAAACTCTTTTTTCTACATACTCATTTTTAATTACACATTCACACAATAAAATATTTTACACGTAAATCTAATTTTTTTTAAAATTTTTTAATCATATATTCTCCTAAAAATCACCATTTGAAACTCTATTTTTGATTGTCAAGAAGTGGCTTGACACCATATGAAATTTTATGTCACATACAGTGTTGTTCCTCTAGCTTCTCGAACCATTTCCCGACAAAATATATTCGAAAAATTACTTACTGGTTATCGTATTGGGCTCAAATTGTTTTGAAAATAATGGACCCCTTTTGTGTGCACCAGGCCCATGCTGTAGTGAAACGCATGGGCAGCGCTCGTAAGTCCGAGTAACAAGCTACCCATTGGGCCTTCTCTATTGGCCCGCTTCTTTTATATTTGAGATTCTAACTGTTGTTTCCAAAAATCGATGTGGGATTGGTTTAACAAGAACAATAATGAATTTGCTGTGAAATCTCAATTTTCCACTCTGCTAGAGTGAGATCGACTAGATCAGCTTCTATGAGTTGTATATATATAAGCTTAGTACAATATGAGAGTTCTCATCTCGACAATCAAACACACGTCACAAGTTAGCCCGACACATAACACTTCTTACTTGCAATCAGGGCATGATATGCCTGCAAATCTTGAAAAAAAGATCTCACTTTACATGGAGATGGCTTTACCTAGCAAAACTATAGAAAGGCCTAATCATTCATCAATAACAATTGCTCGTTTCACTTCTTCTTCTTCTTTAATACTATGTCAATTTATTCAATATCTGAATAGTAGATAACCTAAATATTAGAATAGCATCGACCACTATCTCTACTTTTGTGACTTGACTATTATTCGTAAGTGTCTTGCGATTTCATATAGATGGCAATATCTATTGATCATAATTTGATTTATCGTATTTTCATTTAATGTTATCAAAGTTGAACCATACTTAATCGGTTGGTTTGACCCGAAAAAAGGGACCGGTCCAGTTACAGGTACAAAATCTAACATTTGAAACCTGTTAAAATCACCTAAGATTTCAACCCCAAAACCTGACTAGTCATGAAAAAAATAAAAATAAAAAATTACTTTAATTTGTTTATTTATTGATCTAATTTGATTTGTATTGGACCCTTTACAAAATTACATCTTCTAGATTAATTCCTGTTAAAAATTGAAATTTATCTAGTTATACACCAAAACTCGAAAATTTAGAGCTCATTAAAATCGCTTAAAACATAAAGCCAAAAACAACTAGTCTCATGGCAAAAATTTTGTATCATGTCCGAACATATTTTCAAAACCTAAATTTCCAAATCAACACCATATGTTTGTAGGAATGACAATGGACCGAATCGATCTGACCAGCTAGACCCTAGTCTTGTGCCTTCGTGGGCTCGACGTGGGTCGACGATATGACAGTCAAATATTTATTGCCCTGAATATTAAATTCTTAAAGGAGTTACACCTACCAAGGACTCTTAACAAGTGGAGATAGATATGGATGAGATATGTGATGCCAAAGTTTGGATGGTTGTTAACCACTTCCTCTTATTCTTCAAAGGAGAAGATAATACCAAATTAAATGTCTTTGGTTTTGCTGTAGAAAAGGAAACCAAAATTTGGAAGTATATGGGAGAATTTCTTGCATTTCCCACAGTTGATAGACATTAGGGGACAAAACTGATGAACCTTTTCTTTTGTCTTTGTTCGGACATGTTCTTGGCACTTTGTAATTGATTCTTCAAGAATATTAAAAGTCTTTAAGCAGCCCACCTTTGATTCTCCCGTCCACCATACGTCATGACAA